CAGCTGGTTATGTTTTTCGAATGGGTTCCTCACATGTCGATTCAAATTTTTCCTCGTTATGGTTTACGAAACATGGCGTGATGAAATAAAACATCATAATCTCTCTCTCTCTCTCTCTCTCTCTCTCTCTCTCACTCTCTCTCTCTCCTCGCCCATGAGGCCTACATTGCGTGTAAAATACAACATCATCATCTCATAGACAGAGGAGCAATTTCCTGGGCGTGATCTCCATCTGCAATTCCCTCCTACGTTGCAATGTAAACCTATTTATAAAAAAATTCAGGGGATGAAAAGTGGGTCTCATCGACTCACTGTTAACAACTGCAAAAGCCGAATTACATCTTAAGAAAGTAATCTGTATTTGGTGGGATTAGAAAGTGGTGTTTTATTATGATGAGCTTCTTCTGCCCAAACAAACCGTCTGTTATACCGTACATTGCACACATTCGGAGAAAGTCAACAATTGACCAAAACCGACCGATTGGCTAATCGCAAGGGGGAATGCTTTCCATCCGGATAACCTTAATTTGCCTGACTTTGCCCCTATAGATTTTCACTTATTCCGAACTCTGCAAAACTCTATTAATGGGAAATTTACTCCAATTAATACCACAGAATACACAAAGTACAGGGAGGATGAAATAACAAAATTTCAAGATGACAAAGTGGAACAAAATGGTCCATATACCATGTTGTTATATCAATAATTCTGCAACAAATTATCAATTTAATTGATTAAATTTGTTTACAAGTATCTAAAATTTTCATTGGAGTTATAATCAAAAAATGCTACGGACTTTACGACTCGGCCGTTCCTAGCATGCACATCCTTCCCATGAGAAAGCAATCTTTGGGTTGGCCTACAGTGACCTAATCTTACGTGTATCAAAACCACTTCCTCTTTACGGGATGTTGCAGAACTATTTTTTTTTAACCATGTCCCTTATTTATTGTGGTTAATTTCACGCAATGTAAGATGTAATGTTCGGAATGTGTAATGTACTGCGCCCTTTGAGAGCTATTGCACCATCTGTTCTGTACCTATAGCTCACCGGTGAGTCCTAGTTCTGCAAGAAACCTGATTAGTAGTTTCAGTAGTTGAATTTCTTCTATGGTTAAAAACACACTTCCTCCACAAATCAATTACTCCTGCGGGCAAATGTGGCGACAGTTTGTTAGTAGGTGTGAGTGTATCATCTGCTTCTTTCCAGAATCTGCACGTGCCTGTTGGATTATACTTCTTCAAATGTCCATTTGTCAGTCTATAGTGTCCTGTTGTCATGTCAGCATTGGAAGTTTTTTCCTGCTTCCTTTGATGCATTCTGTTGTTTCTTTCCTTCCAAAATGTACTAGAAAGTTCTTGGATTGTTTATCTCCAATGAGTGAATTCCACTGTTGCCTCATTTTCATTTTGTTTAACATACTCCTTAAAAGTGTACAATGGCTCAGGATGTGTCAGCAGTATAGCAGTTCCTTGTCCTTGCAATGGTGTCCGCTATCTCGTTGCTCCCTACTCACACACGTCCTCGGACCCTGCGGAGAATGACTTCGTTTTACAACTTCACGCCATATGTGGGGATGTCTTCGTCAAGTCAATCCGCCTTTCTTGACGGTTAACACAAATTCTTAGCTCGAAGTTCCCCTTAGGAAATTGCTTCCATAATTATGGTATTAAGTGAAAATTTGGTTTTGTATCGCCAACAGGGCGCCTAAAGAATCCGTGCATAGTTTACGAGTGAAAGTGAATATAATATTTGGTCGTTTATTAATTGCTATGAGCTCAGAGGTGTCTGTATTTCCCTAGACTCCCATTTTAAGCTACTACGCCTCAGTTGTTGTAAGCAGGTTCAAACCGGTCCGTAAATTCTAACCGTTGATTTATTCAGATGCCGCAAAAACATGCATCTATATAATATTGAAAAAAAAGATAAATAAAGCTTCAGGTTGTACCTAAATCTACCAAAGTCCGGCATAAAGGATGAAAGGATATATAAATTCAGTCATTTTTCTTTACATACAAGTACAAAGATATTCTGAACAAATAATTTTCTTATTTTATCCAACTTTTACTGACTGACCCTTTGTAAGACTAGATAATATGATGTTTTTGTCTTATTTTCTACCCTATTGTTCTCATGTAATTTATACGAAACGAACAACGATGTTTTTTTTAATACAGGGACTAGACACTGAATACATAAACAACATGACAAAGGGTGCAAGTTTATGTTACATGTTCAGGTAAAACTTCTTTAAAAGAATAATTTTGTCGTTTCTATCGAATGTCTTTACTAAAATTAAATCCTGCTTGTAATAAAGTTTCTTTAAACGTAAAGAGGAAACGTACGTTTCTTTAAAGTAAAGAGGAAAATTCTTCAGACAATTTAAGAAAATAATTGCCTAAGAAAATCAACTAGACAGAAAGAAAAGGCGGAAGTTGTATTTAATGTCAAACCCTGTTTGAATCAAACGTCTTGAAAAATCTTAAATGGCCTGAAATCAAGAAAAGGAAATAGCTGTTGAAGCACAATTAGAATGAATTGAAACACCGGCCAATTTTCACTTCGTGCTCATCGACTAACAGAATTCTACCAAAAAATTACAAATAATCAGATTCTTTAAGGAAAAGATGGTTTTTCAAATTATTTCATCGGCAAAGACATGTGTAATAACTTAATAAATCCATTAGATTTCGTGGTCCGATTGACCAAATAACCTCTTTCAATTAATTAATTTTTTTTACAAGGGTTAGCCGCAACATCAGAGGTATCAACCCTCGGGGTGAAAAAAAGCCCATTTGTATGTCGGGTTGGAATTCAGGGCTGCTGGATTCGAACCCGGGACCTTTACCGTACAGTGATGAGTGCCGTGTCAACGCCTTACCGACGCCCCCTAATTAATCTTTATGTAAGGTATTGGTTGATATGTTACAACGTTATAGTTAAAAAATCAAAATAAACGCGAGTAGTTATCAATAAATCATTATCACACACGTTAAAGGTGTTTCCACAACAACCCTCCCCTTCAGATTACACCCCTGAGAGAATTTAATGTCGCAGTTTTAAAATTATCTCATCGCTCAAGTTCGCAGCGACTTTAAAAGGCAAAGTGTAAGAATAAACTTCATATTTATGGAAAGTTAAAAGCTCACAATAGCCAAAATCACGCAGTTCCATACGATATAAATAGTGAATGCTTTTTGCATGGTGACCGAGGGGACGTAGCAAATTAAAAAAAAATTAAATTAAATTAACAAAGTTGATATTCGTTTTTGCACCCTAAAACAACCTAGGGTACAAAGTTTGAGTAAAAAAATATTATTTTCCTTCGAAATTTTTGGCTCGTTAAATTTTTGTTCGAAAAATCACAAAAATAGTGATAAAAATCGATAGGCAAGAAACTTTAGACGGGTTTAGACCTCTATAAACAACACGTAATGACACAAAATGGCCTCAGTAAATAAATCTGAATAGGAGATATAATATAAAACGTTTCGGAAATTTTTGTTGGTCATTTTTATATCTCTCAATTATAATTAAGGGTTGTATTATGTCGAATTTGGATATAATCCAGAGGAGTTATGAATTTTTATGTGGAACCTTAAAGGGTGCTTAAAACAATTCAAAACTGATTTTTTCCAAATTATTACTATTTTTTTTGCTCACTTTACTGAGGAACGACTTTTCGTTTTAGTAACCTTTTATATATCTAATGTCATTTGATACAATTTTTTTTTACGAGGGTTCGCAACAACAGAGGTCATATAAACTATCAGGGTGACGGTGTTTTTGAAAAAAAGCCCATTTGTAAGTATGTCGGGTTGGAATGCAGGGACGCTGGATTCGAACCCGGGACCTTTACCTTACAGTGATGAGCGCCGTGTCATTCCTAAACCGTTGCGGCCCCCGATACAATTATTATAATATTATATTATTATTCCTGCTGATTATTATCTTATCCTTAACAGCCAATATCACACAGTTCAATACGAACTAAGTTTTTCGCCGAAAGAAAAAAAAATTTAATTATTTCTATAATAAGTACTTATCGTTAATTAAGTCTCTTTCTATTTTGCAAGGTGAAAATAGTTTAAAAAAACTATTTAAAGTTTGAAGGTAAACTCAAAGCACCGAAATTTGTACAAAAACAAACAACTTTACTAAAATGTCGATATCGGAGATTTAAAATAAAACGTTCGGGAGTTTTTTTTGATGTCGACCTTATTTTTCTAACTTATATTAAACCAAGATGTAACCATTGTTGATATAAGTGAAAAGTAGAGAAATTAAGCTTTTTAAGGGCTGTAACGTCGTTGAATTTGGATAATATCCAGAGAAGTTAAGAATTTTTAAGTAGAATTTCGGACATCTAAACCCCCCAAGTACCAAATCAAGCCCCAACTTTTTGTTTTCTTATAATAACTTATAATAAATTAAATTGTAACTATTGTTGATATAAGCTGAAAGAAGAGAAATTAAGTTTTATACGGGTTGTAATAACGTCGTATTTGTATATAATCCAGAGGAGTTATGAATTTTTATGTGGAAATTTAAAGTGCTTAAAACAGTTAAAAACTTTTTTATTATTTTTTTTTGCTTACTTTACTGAGGACCGACTTTTCATTTTAGTAACCTTTGCCATTTGATATAATTATTGTAATATTATATTATTATTATTATTATTATTCCTGCTGATTATTATCTTATCCTTAACAGCCAGTATCACACAGTTCAATACGAACTAGTGAAAGTTTTATCAGATAGGATGAGTTTTTAGTTTTTTGCCGAAAGAAAAAAAAAGTTTAATTATTTCTATAACGAGTACTTATCGTTAATTAAGTCTCTTTCTATTTTGCAAGGTGCAAATAATTTAAAAAAAAACTATCTAAAGTTTGAAGACAAACTCAAACTACCGAAAATTGTACAAAAACAAACAACTTTACTAAAATGTCGACAAGGACTGTCATCATTGAAAATTGTAAACAAAGCATTTTTACATACACGTAGAAGTAATCCATTGTATGAGGTCCGAGGAGTGATATCCGCGTCGTTTCCAGACGTACCGACGACTGAAGACGAGAATGGAAAAGTGGCTGGTACTTGCCACTTCTTCTGTGTCAAGGTCGATCCCACTATCACCACTCTCTCGGCTTCCGTTTTGATCCCTCTTTGAGGAAATGTGGATTAGTGAGTCATGTAGAAGTGGGAGATGAAATCAACGACTATCCTCTTGGCATACGTCTTTTTTAATTTTCCTTCAAATCGAACTAAAACAGATCATGTGTATATATCGATTTCAAATTACTTGCCAAAAGTACTGACTCTGGTCTCCCTTTTCCACTGCGACCTAATAGGTCAGTCGTGGAATTGACCTTTCTCAATATCCATATCCTGAAGGTAGTTACACACTTTCTGGGGTGCTTCTTCGCTATTTCTCTAGGCCCTGTTTTTTTCAATTAAGCAGATCGGTATTTTTCCTAATTCATGCTTGCTAAGATCAAGGTTTATTTTTGTTTTCCTGATGGGATGTTAGACAACGTCTGATCAGCTAATAGTCATTTATTTCTCCACTCATTTATTCAGTTACGCTTTTAGAATGTTTTGGGTTGTGATTTGCGGCTCTGGTTCAAAGGGTGAGATGGTCCTGTTTTTGCCATTTTTCCAGGCTTTTTGTTGCCTTCAATCCCTCCATGTCCGGTTACCTGATTTCGATACCCTAAGGTCTGGAGATACGTCAGGCATTTCTAGACCAACTTTGGGTTGAAAGTCTGAGAATCTATCTCAGCTTTTAGAATAATTTGGGGTTCAGGTCCAAAGGATGTGAGACCTGTATGCTAGTTTGAGTTGGTTCCTTTCAACCCCTTCTTGTCCTGGCATCTACATCAGAGCTACCCGATTTCGTTTTCCCAAGAGTTGGAGATATGTTATGCATTCCCAGAATTTTGAGTTGAAGGTTGAGGATTCTAAAGCCTTCAGTACTGCTTGGCTGTAAGCCAATATATGTTGCACATTTTTAGCAAACTTTGGGGCATGCTGATTTGCGGTTATGGTCCAAAGGATGTGAGACTGCAAAGGATTGGAAGGATTCTTATCAGAAGGACCCTTGCTTGGACTTTTGCTAGGATAGGTAGGTGGTTAAGTTTATGGGGCTTTGTGATCATCTTTATAATGATAAATGAGTATGAATTTCCGTAGTAATGGAAGTCGAGTAGTTCTTTGCACATCATATAAAGGTAAGTTAGGAAGAGCTACACCTGCTGCACGCATTCGTGGGACGCCATAGGCCTAGCCTAGGTGGTCCGATCCTTCGCTTCCCGAAGGGTACCACGCCGGTCATACGCACAACAATGCAAAGCATACTCGAGTCGCCGACTCACTACCCGCTTCCATCTGCTTATTTACGCATTCGAGGGACTGTAGCATGATCATTGCGTCCTCAACGCTTACATGCTGTCGTCCGGTCGCAACGTCTCCCGTGAGGCCAGGGGGTACTACGTTGGCCATACGCAAGCTTCACGAAGGTCACAAATAGAAGACAGACTCTGTCTAAGTTCCCGCCAGGGGCGTCACCACGCACCACCACGAAACCTTTCCCAGTGTGACTAGGGCTGGTTTTTGGAAACTGTTCAGTCACCCCGTGGTACAGATGGCCATACACCCTCCCCTGTCTTTGCAGACAGGATATAGTGCACTGGCCCTCGTGTGACTCTGCTAAGGCACCCACCCTCAGGCCGACACAAGTACAGCTTGTGCTTTAGAGAGGTTGCCACGCCCTCTGGGCTGCACCTTTATTTTGTGCCCGTCACAGGATAGAATGAAGGAGCTCGGATTGTGAAAAAGGGCCGTGGATGAGAACACGAGGTGAGCCGTTTCGGGGTCTCGAGTCTCGAACCACATTAAACCACCCATCGTCGCCGTGGTTCCACATAAAGTGGGCCATGACTCCCAGGGTGGGTGAGACGAGATGGCCGTTCAAAAGCCGAACTAGTGGCCGTATCCCGGCCAGTCGCCTCGGGGGGTGAATCCGAGTCTGCGGAAAATAAATCCCGCAGGTCGGATTGGGATCCTCAATCGCAAACACTCATTCTTCACAATCAGTGCGCTCGTGGTGGGGACCGGTTCCTCAGGTTTTCGCAGTTTCCGTTCAGGTTTCCTGCTACTCTCCGAAGGCCGAATGTCGCTCACACCTGGGCTTGAGAGAGAGCTTGCTTCTTTAAGAAGGTATCTAAGGACTTCTATGGTTATTACGGCGTATCCCCCTAAGTTTAAACAAAAGTCAACGAGCAATCCGGTCAAGAAGTTTGGCTTGGTCAAAATTTGTGACTTTAACCCCTGTCATACTCCTTGTCCATCTGTGTACAATAATAAGACCCTTCTATTAGTTTCAGGGGTATTCTTCCAAACATCTCTAGTAATTTTATTTGGAAAGGTCTGACAAAACTTTTTATAATAATTTCACTTCATCAGGCATTTTGTAGCAATATGCTTTATAACGCTTTTGTTAAGATTTTGTGGTGGCTTTCTCTAAGGGTCCGGCTTTATTCCTTTTTGTTCTAAGAGCTTATGACATCATGTGGATTTATGTATGCAGTGGTGGCAATCCCAGTGTTACTGCCCATTGCTAAAATTAGGCAAGTATGCATTGTCCCTCTAATGTTATGCCAGCCTTTGTAATTTTTTAAATTGATTTTGTGTCATCTTTTCCACCGATTTTAGCTTCCACACTAGAGCTCCATATGTCTTCCAGAGTTACCTTTGTCAGGTTTGTGCCGGTACGTGTGTGTAGTTTATAAGAGTTTAGACCCCTGTAATCAATGTTTTATTACGAAATCTTTGGTCTCATTTATTATGGCCATAGCTTTTTGTATCGTTTTGTTTATGCGACTCTTCCAGGGGAGCTTTTCATCTAGCGTGCCCAGATACATCATCCCGATACTTCATCCCACTGGAGGACTCTCCTCGGATCAGCTTTGAGTTGAAGGTTCTGCTTGGCTCTCATAATGTTTGTGCCATGATTTAGTTCAGTTTTGCAATTACCGAAGAAAAAATTCTCCAAAATTATAAAAATCGAGAATGAATTGATAATAAATTAAGCAGATTGACAATTCATAAACAATCAAGCCTCGGTTTTGGTCGGATCCTTCTACTGAATGACGTGTCACCACTGAGTCATCGACGGTTGGAAACCCGGTCGTTGGAGTTTCCACACTTTCACTTTCTTCTACATCCTATACGAAACCACAGACACAGTTAGGTCATTGAGATCTTTACATCATAGCATTCTATATGAAAACAAAAATGCATTTGTAAAAAAAAAAAAAAAATTAGAAGACAAATAAGGTAGGTCGAAAAATTTATAGACACCAGTCCACGCTTTTAGGAAAGTAAGGTAAAAAAATGTATTTTTGAAAAAACCAGTTTGGAATTGTTTTAAAGATCCTTATAATCCTTAAATACAAATTTTCATAGTACTAAAAATGCATTTTTGGGCTGGACGGGGCAGTTTTTTCTTTTGCTCCTGTTATCTACTAAAAAATTAATAACTTTGGATTTTATCCAAATAGCCATTGAATTGCTAGATTCTTTCAGCCTGTGTCAATAACGGTTAGAGTTTATGACATTATAAGTGAGAAAAATAAGGTTGAAATCAACAAAAACTCGACGTTTTCTTCACACTATCCCACAAAGCAAGCCAAACATTTTTTTAAACAAGCAATTCGAATTAGTTTTAAGCATCCTTTAAATCATTAAATACGAATTTCTGTAGGAAACAAAGAATAGAAATATTTGGGGAAGATCAGCCGATGGCAATTGTTTTTTTCTTTCGTGTCCTGTTGTTCTACATAAAAAATCACAACTCCTCTGGCTTAAATTTAAATTCTAAAACCCTTGGGATGTTGGTTTTCACTTCTTTCTGCAATAAGGTTCATATTGTATGTCATTATAAGCAAGAAAAATTCATATTAAAAATCCCCAGATTTTTTATTTATTTCCGCTTATAATTTATATACTGATGCCAGATTTGTGCCAAGAAGTTAAGTTTAAAAGCTTCTGAGCCTCTGTAAAGTTTCTGGATAGATCTGTGGAGTTGTTTCAGTGATCAGTATTTTTTACCCGTTATATTTCGTGGTCCGATTGACCAAATAACTTCTTTCATTTAATTAATCTTTACATAAGGCATTGGTTGAGATAAAAAAGTCAGTGTCACGAGTGGGATTCGAACCTACGACCTTCGGCTAAATTCGCCGCTGCTCTACCTCTCTATATTGTGACTTCGATCCACTCGGACACTAACTTCCCATCTCAACCTACAACCTTTCGAATTTTCCCTCCTTTTTGCCATTTTTCAAATGTCGTGTAATCAGGATTCGATTCTCGGCGACAAATGAAATGGCCCCGGAGAGCTTTAGTGAAGATATACTTCGTTTTACTTGTTAAATCCATTATATTTTCCTGGTCCGATTGACCAAATAAATTCTTTCAATTAATTAATCTTTATGTGAGGTGTTAGTTGAAATGAAAAATGGCAAAAAGGAGGGAAAATTCGAAAGGTTGGTTGAGATGGGAATGGTGTCCGAGTGGATCGAAATCACAATAGCTCAAGTGGTAGAGCAGCGTATTTAGACGAAGGTCGTGGGTTCGAAACCCGTTCGTGACACTAGCTTTTTCATTTCAACTAATACCTTACATAAAGATCAATTAATTGAAAGAAACTGTTTTTTACGATTTTCGAAAACCAACGCATTTGAAAAACGAAAAATTCGCTCGAAAAAAAGGAATTTTTTGATTTTCCCAAATATTTGTGTTCAGGTTTTTTTGGGGTGTGAAAAACGAATATCCACTTCGTTTCTTGATAAAAATAATAATTTAGCCTAGTTTGCTAAGTCGCTCGGTCACGAATTATTTCAATATCTAAGATGCCCTTAATATGGCTACTGCAAACATAGCTGGAAGAAAAGTTGGAACAAAAATGACATTTTCATCAAAACAATTGAGGTTCGTTGTAAGCACATTTTAAAGTCCTTAAATACGAATTTTCATACGGAATAAAAAATAGAAATTTATGTGCTGGGTCAACGAGGAGCAATTTTTTCTCAGATGCCCTGTGTTCCAGTTCAAAAATTCGTATGTCCTCCGGATGTTATCCAAT